CATGGTCTAATACAAGAAAGCAATAAATGAACATGTGGGAACCCTTTCTGCAAATTGAACTTTTCTCTCAGACCACCAGATGTTTCCAGCCATGAGATGAACATCAGTATTAACAGAAACCTTGATGAAATGGGCTTAGTTTTAAGCTTCTTTGTAGATACCGGCTTAGCACATCTCTGAGCAGATCCTATAGAACCCCTAAGGGGTTTCTACAAACCCCTAAGGGTCTGTACCCCTCCATTGCATTTTCTGTATATTTACTTGTCCCGAAGCAATTGCTCCATATGAGAAAAAAAAAGAAAAAAAAAGAAAAAAAAAAGTTTGGAGAGACCGAATGCCAGCTGCTAAACAATGCAGAAGGGCAGAAAGGTGTTAAGGACATTATAATTCACTGTGAAAAAGGCTGAAGCTAACCCAAGCACAATCAAGACTGACAGCAAACTCTGGTATTTGTCTATCAGTATTCAATTCTTACATATGCAATGTATTGAGAATAGATTTTATAAAGTATAATATGAAGTTATTCTGATGAACATGCATTATTATGCTATGTGTGTGTGTTAAGGAAAAAGAAGCAGAAGTATAGAAAAACAAAGTGTCAGGGGAAAATAGTGAAGGAAGAGAGTTGTAGCTGGCTGTTGGCATTTATTTTTTGTTTCTTTGATCAGTCTGTGCTTGCTGTACCTCACAGGATTGGAACTTTTGATGGCCAGGTGCTCTCAGTTTGCACCACACAAAATTTTTGCTGACATCTAATTATTTTGTTCTACAAATACTTTCTGGTGGCACTACACCTTTTGCTAATAGCCTCTCCACCCCTAAATGTGGCATTGGTTCAGAACTGGGATGTCTCCGAACCACAAGTCCATCGATAACTACTCAAAGGATGCTGGAAGACAGGTATGATGCTTTTACTTGCTGTGATTTATCAGTATCCAGCATAATTTTACTCTATATAGCCAAAAGCAGCCTACTCAGAGTTATTTGCCATTTTGTCTTTCTGTTCAGATCCAGGTTATTACAGAGAATTATGTCCCTAGTCTCTCAACTGGTGAGACCGCACCACATCCTGTTTGAGCAATGTCATACTAAACCAATCTTATGTTCTTCTGAATCTAAACTCTACATCATGACAGAGACCGTCAGATCTTTGCCTTAGACCAACCATTCCCAAACTAGAAATCATGTTTCTGGAAGTGTGACTACAAGAGGTGTTATGAATACAGACACAAAGTATAGTTGAGAACTGCTGCCTTAGATCCCAATCTATAACTGGTTTGCGTGAAATATGAAAAACGTGAATTAATATAGGCACTATTAAGATGGCTCTAAATTCCTAGAAGAGAATCCCCTTGGGGGGAATATTCTGAAGTCAAGGCATAATTTTCCACTCTGCATTGCTAATGTATACAACACCAGACAGTCCATTGCATAGGCAGCTTTGCTTGTTGGTACTGTTTTTAAAAAAGGAACATCTGAAATTAAAAACAAATAAGTAACATAAAATAATAACTATAAAGCAGCCAAACCAAATCAAAAGCAAACCAACTAACCAACCAAACAACAACAGCAACAAACAACAACAAAAGACAACCAACCAATCAAAACCTTCAACCTGCTGTGACTTACATACAAAAGGAAAATACTAGATTTTCATGTCATGCAGCCTCTGATGCACCTTCTCTCAAAAGCAATCTGGGAAAGAAACTTGAAATTGCTTTGTATCTTTTTCAGTACACCATGCAACAATACAGTTGAACATTTTTACCATATCTGCCTTCTGACTAGTTGGACCTTTCTCCTTACAGTAACTGACTTCTTATTTCATTGTAGTTTCATTGTACTTTGGCAATGGACAGAAATTATCTTGCACTCTTATGCTGATCTTTCTTTTATGAGGATTTCAGAAAAGAGGCAAATTAACAAAGCTGATACTTGTACTACAGTACATTCTATTTTGCCTACTATAGTGAGAACTGTAGAAACTGGCATACAATGGAGAGGAACTATTCTCTTCTGGATTTTAGTTCATTGCCTACATGCATCTTGACAACTTATAGAACGTTCTTACCATTTTTTTCTCCTCCAGCAATATTTTTAGAATAAACTAGAGCAGACCCTCTTTCATTTGTGTACAGATTTTGACAATCATTCAGCAGAGCACTCAGGCATATTTTTCGATCTATTTCTGTTCAAGTCTGCATATAAACACCTGTGCAAAGACAAACAGACAGGATATGTGTAGTGAAAAGTGTTAGGCAAACTTAAATCTGAATGGAACAAAGGTCTCACTTCATGTTGCTGTAAGTACATCTGGAAAGTCAACTCTCCTTGTTTTCAGCTCCTCCTTTCCTTCAAAGGAAAGATATAGACAATGCTGCTGTCATAAATAGATAGATGATAGATAGATAGATAGATAGATAGATAGATAGATAGATAGATAGATATTGCTTTAAATGGAGAAGAAAAATGAAGGTGCATGAAAAGACTGAAGATACCAGAGAACTACCTGTCAGGTCTTTTCTGGCCCAGTGATAATAAACAAACTGAGATCAACAAGGTAACAGATTCACACATCATTCTTAAAAGGAGGACCAGCCCTATGTAATGTCCCTGCAATTTTTATCCGTGTTTTGTGTTTCATGTTAGCCCACAGTAATATACTTCAGGCATGGTGTGATATAGCACAACAAATTCCAGGGTTTCTGTATTTTAACATTATTCCTGTCCTTATTTAGTATCTAATAACTAGAACTGCACTTATTCATTTATTTATTTTACAGAAATGTGGTCAATATACCCTCATTCTTATGAAAAAGTGTTTTCTAAAGTATTCCACAACGGTGTTCTATTGACTGTCCACATCCAGACATTGGAAAAAGGGGGCTACAGGCCAGCCTCTGAGAGGAGATCAGGGGCTGCCCAGTGTCAGGTACAGCTGGCTCCAGCCAGATCCACAGTGCCCCCACTACAGCCACAGCTAAGCCAATTGGTAAAGCTGGTGGAACCTCTAGGAAAACATAACTGAGAAAAGGCAGAAACGTCAGACAGGCACAGGAGTAAAGGAAAAATGAGAGAGAAACAACCTCGCAACTCCAGAGTCAGAAAAGGAGAGGGAGGTGGTGCCCCAGGTGCTGGAGCAGAGATTCACCTGAGGACTATGGAAGAGACCATGGTGGAGCAGGTATTTCCTTGCAGCCCACAGAGAGGACCATGACAGATATTTACACTATAGCCTGGGGTGGAGGAGAGCACTCTGTGCTGTTTCCCAAAGGAACAACAGCCCATGGAAAGAGAGGGCACCTGCTGGATCAGGGGGAAAATGCGAGGAGGAATGAGAACTGACAACCCCCTGAACTGCTTCTGTGGAGACAGAGAAATTGGGAATGAGAGTGTGGCTGAGCCTGGGAAAAGACTTGTGCGTGGGGTTGTTGTTTTGAAGTTTTGCCCTTGTTTCTCAGTATCTGGCCCTACTTTAATTAGAAACAAAATTAATTTTCCCCAAGTTGAGTCTGTTTGGCTCATGATTGTGACTATTAAGTGATCTCCCCATCATCTTCATCTTGACCAATGAGATTGTTCATCTTATTTTGTCCTGTCAAGATGGAGCAGTGGTAGAGTGGCTGAGTGGGTGTGTAGCATTTGAGCAAGGTCAACCCAATGCAAGTACAGATTGCTCCTGTCACAAGAGGTATGTGGAACAATTTCTGCATGGTTCATGTGCAATTTCTACCAGCTTCAATGGTGCAGGGTTAGGTCAGTTTCACACATAGGAATATCACCTTAATGATGCTGCATTATCAAAAGAAGACTTAGAAACTATTTTCAAGCTACTTAGAGAGTGAAGGCTTTAAATCACAGAATCACAGAATTTCTAGGTTGGAAGAGACCTCAAGATCATCGAGTCCAACCTCTGACAATAGTTGTGATTTTAGCAAGAAGGAGGTGCTTATGTACTTACCTCCAGGGAATATTTTGTCATTGCTTTGTGAGAGGATTATTTAAATAATACTGGAGAGTGTCTTAGTGGGGTCAGAATATCATTGGGTGTAGAGGTAGATTTTCATGGAAAAGCTAGCATTCTGAATGTGTTTTAACTAACTTGAATAAAAAATAACATAGCTGAAACATTGGTGTGTTATCAATATTGTTTTGGTGACAAATCTGAAATGCAGCACCATATGGGTTGCTGTGAAAATAGTTAACTCTATCCCAGACAGACCGAGTAAAAAGGTTTACAGAAGACTGAATATTCTTAATCAAGAGGTCTTAATATTCTATAACAAGCTAAAATACATATTGAGGCAGGATATTTTCCAATCACAACATCCATTTGCAAGCCCACGTTTTAGTGAGTAGCTTGTTTTGAAGCTGTGGTAGTAGAGCTTTCTTTGTTATACATCACCAATGTTTTTTTCTTGTTGCAGAATAAAAATTCATGATCAAAAATTCCTTTTATTTTTGGAAGTAGAAGAACAATTTGAATACCTTTGTCCTTTCTTTCTTGCTCTCTCTCTCTTTTTTTTTTTTTCTGTTTGTTTGTTTTAATTGTACAGAGAAAAATATTTTTCTCTCTTGAAAGTCTGGGAAACTGGAAGTGATTTCTTCATGTACTCATAACTGCATTTTTTTTTGCTGTTGTTATTTATGCTATTTTTTGCATTAGCAACTAAATATTGTTGGCTACTGAGTTTGAAAAAAAAAACATGCTACAGCTATTTCTTATGTGTAGACAATGATTTGACCATTAACTGTAAGGTGCAGCTGTAAAGTGCAGATTGGTTAAATTCATACTGACCTATTCTATTCATACATACATCAAACTTCAGCTACAAAAGTTATTCAGCCTCAAATAATGTTTATTGCCTCAAAAAAGCAACTGCCAATTATTTTATATGCTGACATTGAATTGTCCAATAAATTCCAGTAGTTGGTTGAAAAGGCCATCTCTTGCCTTTAGATGGTCCAAAAAAATAGTCAATGAAAACTTTACCTTTGGGTTGTGTTTTGTAATCTTTTGTTTTATTTAGCCATGCAAAATGTGCAACTGATGCGCACCGAGATTATCCTACATGTATATTTTCTCATTGTTGCTTTTCACATCTTTATCTGAAGACATAAGGAAACACATTTGACCTCCTAGTGTTCAAAATAGGAACATGAATTAATGTTCTGTTGTGTAAGAGATTTCTGCCAAAAAGTCAATGTTATTTTTAAGGTTGGACAAAACCAAGGCAGGTAACTCAAAACTGGATACACATTTTCTGATTTAGGTCCTAAAATTTGATTTGTTCTCCCTATAAAGTCATTAAAAGAAATTTGACTGAAATCATTGCTTTATGATAAAGGAATTTCACCACCTTAATTATATAAATTACTACTGCCATGCGACTTGGAAAAACACATGCTAAAGGTCTATCAAGGACATAATCTCATCCTTCTTTGCTGAAGTTTTTAAGCATGTGCTTCAAATCAAGCAGATTCTAGAGCGCTTCATAAAACACATTTGGTCTTTTTGCTCCACTGCCTTGACAAATGGAGAATCAAATCAAATAAATGAAGCACAAGACATCTTTTTTACTGCCTCCTTTCCTTTGTGACTGAGAAAAGAACCTGAGATCTTTCTAGTATCAATCCCCCACAAGTCTGTAAGAAGTTGAAATATTACAATGGACATAGCTGTTGCTGACAAAAATATATCTATTTTGTTCCACGATGACCAAACTCCCACAGAAATTGTAAAAGACAGAAACAGAAAATAAATAAATAAATAAACACAAAATAAATTAAGTTCATCAATCTACATATATCATGTTTTTTCTATCTCATTAACTCCATAGCCTTGACAAATGATAAATGCTTGTAATATTGCTGTATTTTAAGTGTATGCTAGAGACTGGAAACACATTGAACAGATTGTTCAAGAAACTGTATTGTTCTTGTTCATTGTCATTAGTGACCCATGTATTTTGATTCTTATGAGGCAATGACATATAATAACAAAGATTATTTTCAAGTCTTATCTTTTGTTCAGCTCATTTATATGGGACATAAATACATCTATTGAGATAATGCACCAGATGTTATTCAGGGAATGACTATATATTTGGAATAATATCTGTAAAATAATCCATTTTCCAAATGCAAATTACTTTCTATGCGTGCCCTTTTCTTCCCAGCATAACTATCCTGTAAAACCCTACTTTTCTAGTGTGTAATTCCTTCACACTGCAAAGCATCATTCAATAATTTCAGTGGTATATGCCAGTTGTTCCTTTTCAGTCCATGACAAATTTCTTTAATGCACCCTGACAAACATATATTTTACTTCTGCAAGCATTCATAAAGAAAAAGTACATAGATTTTAATCAGGATCCCCTACCAGCTGAATACAGAATTGTTTTTGCTAAACTTACAGCAAGTCTGTCCTTTGTACCACAGAATAGATAGAAAAGAATTTCATTTGAATCAACCACCCTTCCAAAATCTCATCTGAAAGATGGTCTTGGTCTTTTATCTGCACCACAGAAAATACACTGAAGAGTCTTCTGTTCATGTTAACACTTCTCTGTCCTCCTTTATCAATTCAAATGTTTTCCAGATTCCAACCTCTCTGGGCAGTGATTTTTTATTTATTATTTTTATTTATTTTTTAATTATTTTTGTTAATATCTTGCCTAGTCCAGAAATGACTCAATTCTGATGACACAGGAGTAACGAAATACCAACAACCAGATTTTAAGTCTGTGTGACATACTATAGTCAGCTACCTGCTGTTTAAATGCATGGCTTCTGCATTTAAACACAAAAACACTGAAAGTACCTCTCCATTCCTCTGCAGATCTGTTGAAATGTTAGGCTAGTGTTTCTCAAAGTGCTTGTAAAGTTAGTGCTTGTGGTATAGTTTCCTCCATTCCATTTCCATTACACCAACTACTAGAAGTACATATGGCATAATGTGTAGGACATTTATTCTGATACTGAAGAGTAGGCTACCACAGTCATTGAGAAGAAATTTTCCACAATAAAACATGACATTTGATTTATAAGACACTCCAGCACAAAGCTTCAATGGGATTTTAAACACATCTTCTTTACTCTTTTCTCTACTGTTCTATTTTCATCTTGAAAGTAACAGTCTTTGGTGATTTTTAAAGTCCAGCTACCAATAAAAAGTGAATACATTAATATATCAGAAGTTACTTAAAAATTCAGAGCCCTTATCGTTGCCTACAAAATCTTGGAAACATGGCCAAATATGACTTAATTTAAAAATAAATAAACAAATAAAACAGAGAAAAATGACAGTAACAATATTCTAACACATTATTATTGTCATTTTCTCATGGATTTGAAGAAAATTGCTTCATTTTCTGTTGCCCACTTCAGTTCTAATGTCAAGGTTGGGAATACTTTGAAGGAATTATGTGATTTTACCCACCAAGATACCAGATAGCAGTGATCACTTGCTTTATACACTAAGGAGAATTTACAATTATAAAGCTATGTCTATTGCAGCACAGACATTAAATCCATCTGTTCATTCAAAGATAGTGTTTCTGGTTTGGGCTGCTGTGTCCAATAAAAGTAGAGGACCTTGTAGTGCTCTACCTAGCACAGATAATAACTGCACCAAAGATTCCACAAAAGAGACTTCAATCTTCCAAGAACAGTGAATGAGTAGCTAGTTTGCTAAGCCCTAGAAATGTTCAAGCCCTAGAAATGTTCATGCCTCCGTATCTGACGTGCATTTATCTCCCTTCAAAACACATATGTATAGCTATTTCTAGTGAGGTCATGTGAGCTTACAGGTCTTACAGGCCCGAAAAGAGTAGCAAAATACCATTGGTCTTTTCATATGCATTATCCCATCTCAGAAGACTGGTATTTGAATGATACTAAAAGCCTGAAAACCAAACCAAACCAAACCAACCAACCAAACAAAAAAACATCTTTTGTTCTCTACTGCCAAATAATAGGGTGAGTATAAGACATGTATGGGGACCAATGGATTCATCCCAGGGTAATGAAAGAACCATCTGATGTCATTGAGACTTTTCAATTTCTCTTTAACATTCTTGGGAATCTGGAGAGGTCCCTGTTGATTGGAAGCTGGCAGATGTCCCCATCTCCAAGAAGGACAAGAAAGAAGGCCCTGGTATTTACAGGCCTGTCAGTCTCACTTTAGTGACTGACAAAATTATGGAGAAGATTATTTTGTGAGGCATTGAAAAACACTCAAAAGACAACACAATCATTTGCTATAGCCAAGATAGAGGCCTTTGCAGAGAAATCTTGACACATTAAAGGGCTGGGCAATCACCAACCATGTAAAATTTAACAAGAGCAAGTGCCAGACTGTTCACCTGAGACCAGACAATCTTGAATATACAAATAGACTGGAGGACTTGTGGTGGGAAAACAGCATATGGAAAGTAATATGGGAATAACGGCAAGCTGTATCTGAGTCAGGAGTGTGCCCTGGTAACCAGGAGGGCCACTGGGGTACGCCGGGGTGCATCAAACACAGCATTGCTAGCTGTTCCAGGAAGTGACTGTCCCACTCTGCTCTGTGCTGGTTTGGCCAAATCCCAAGCACTGTGTGGGCACCACAATATAAAAAAGATGTACAACTGTTAGTGTCCAAAGGACGGCTGCGAAAATGGTGAAGGATCTAGAAAGCAAGACATATGAGGAGCAGCTGAGGTCATGTGGTTTGTTTAACCCAGAGAGGCGGAGACAGGGGAGGCCTCATGATGGCCTACAGCTTCCTCATGAGGGAGAGTGGAGGGGCAGGTGCTGATCTCTTCTCTCTGGTGACCAGTGATAAGACCTGTAGGAACAGCAAGAATCTGTGTCAGGGAAAGTTTAGACTGGATATTGGGAAAAGGTTCATCACTGGTAGCCAGGCACCAGCACAGTTCAAGAAACATTTAGACAATGCTCTCAGGCATATGGTTTGATTTTTAGGTAGTCCTGTGTGGATCCACAAGTTGGATATGATCCTGTGGGTCCCTTCTAACTCAGGATAATCTATGATTATAGGAGTCTAAGTAGGCAGAAAGTCATCATTAATGCTGTATTTCTTTGATGCAATTTTTGGTAAGAAATTAAAGATAATCTACAGTTCCAATTCGTTCCCTAGGAGTGAAATGCTGGGTAATCCTAAAAATAAACTCCTTTGCAAGAAAAGAAAAAGTCAGTGGTTATAATTTTATTCAAATGAATCATGTCTCCATTTAAATAAAAGCATATATGTTGAAACGTGTTTGTGAAGTAAAATTCTAAATGTAGCATATTTATTTCTGCAGTGAGCAAACACAGGACTTATTTAGATATGAGTTCAATTTATGGACACACTTAAATAGTAACAGAAAATGAAACCCAGGAATATCTGACACATTGTTTTCAAAGCAAAATATGAACACTTGGACATAGACAATTAAGCATTCCCTATGCCTTCTAGCTGAATATGCAAATTTGACATTCAAATCAGACTCCTAAAAAAAAAACTCACCCATGTCAAAACACGTAATTCTTAGAATATGAGGAGTCCAAAGACTTTTTCCTTTAACTTTAATTACTTTGCCATTATTTCAGTTAAGGGCAAGGGTCTTCAGTAGGTTATCATTTTGCTCTTCCCAACTGTTTGAAAAGTCAAGTAGTTTCCCCTGACAAAACATGTAGTGTATGGAATTTTTAGACGAGGAATTTACAGGAGAGTACCATGCAGAGAATTCATTATAGCTTGAAGAGGAAGCTACTTCAAGAAGGTGGCCATGTTGTTTGCATAGTATGTTTGCCTGTTGCAAACTAAGGGTAACTCCTGAACTGATTTAATGAATTGCATGTGTTTTTGGAAGCTAAAAAGAAGCATGGAGCTAGTTCTGGAAGACAGAGGGTCAAAAATCTGATTATATGAAGTAAAAAAATATTTTATGGGATACACTGTTAAGATGTGCATTTACCAATATACATACACAGCACTACCGAATGTATATTAACAGGACAAAGGAATCTAATGAACTATACTTCAGTACCACTTGGCTTTTAAGACTGACAGATGTCATGTGCCTCTCCATTCTCACATGATGCTCTGCTGTCTCGCTCCTCAGGTGAGACTAGGTCTGAGTTTGTATTTAGTATTTCTAGTTCATGGTAAAAGGTCTATTTAGCCAAACCACTCATCTTTGGAGTACTCAGCCTCCCGACCTGGAAGTCTGGGATGGGGAGCAGAAGAACCCCTCCATAGTTCAGGTGGAAACGGCTAGAGACAGGCTGCTCCACCTTGACTGTCACAAGTCATGGGGCAAGATGGAGTTGGTGGAGGTGATTTCTGGGCCGCTTTCCATCATCTATCAGTGGTCATAGTCATCCAGAGAGATCCCAGATGACTGGAGACTATGTGGAAGCCCATGGCTTGGGCAGGTACACTCTTCGCTGGGTTAAAAACTGGCTGGATAGCCAGGCCCAAAGCGGTGGTGAAATGCAGCTGGCGACCAGTCACCAGTGGTGTTCCCCAGGGATCAGTGTTGGGGCTCATCCTCTTTAATATCTTTATTGATTATTTAGATGAGGGAATTGAATTTACCCTCAGTAAGTTTGCAGATGACACCAAGTTATGGGGAAGTGTCAGAGGGTCCTGGACAGGATCGGTCTATGGGCAGAGGCCAATGGGATGAGGTTCAACATGGCTAAGTACTGTGTCATGCACTTTGGTCACAACAATCCCATGCAGTGCTACAGGCTTGGGGCACAGTGGCTGGAAAGCTGTGCAGAGGAAAAGGAACTGGGGTTGTTGACTGATGCTTGCCTGAACATGAGCTGGCACTGTGGCCAAGAAGGCTAGCGCCATCCTGGCTTGGATCAGGAACAGTGTAGCCAGCATTGATTTTTCCCCTGGACTCTGCTCTGCTGAGGCTGCACCGTGAGTACTGTGTTCAGCTTTGGGTCCCTCACTACAAGGACATAAAGGCCTTGGAATGTGTCCAGAGAACAGCTACGAAGCTGATGAAGAGCCTGGGACACAAGTCCTGTGAGGAGCAGCTGAGAACTGGGGTTGTTTAGTCGAGAAGAGAAGGCTCAGGGGAGACTTTATTGCTCTCTGCAACTGCCTGAAAGGAAGGTGTGGGCAGCTGGGGGTCAGCCTCTTCTCGCAGATAACTAGCTTTAGGACTAGAGGGAACGGCCTCAAGTTGTGCCAGGGGAGGTTGGAAATGAGGAGACATTTCTTCTCAGAAAGGGCCATCAGGCATTGGAACAGGCTGCACAGGGAGGTGGTGGAGTCACCATCCCTGGGGGTGTTTAAGGAAAGGTTGGACTTGGTGCTAAGGGACATGGTTTAGTGGGTGACACTGGTAGCAGGGTGATGGTTGGACCAGATAATCTTGGAGGTGTTTTCCAACCTTAATGATTCTATGATTCTGTGAACCGGCATCATTGGAAGATCTATGTCATTACTCCAAGGCAACATTTTTTTAACTTTTAGGTATTCAGCAAATGTGCACAAATGAATAATATCAAAAATCCTCATTATATTTAAAGCAGAAAAAGCGCCAGGAGAAGTGATATGAATCGAGGAACCAAAGTTTCATTACTCTTGATTAAAGAAGTTATCAGGAGGGAAATGGAAACGTGAAATACGTATCAGACAGTTTCTACTGCACTCTAGATAAATAAAGAATGAACCTAACTATTAAGGGTCTGAGCCAATCTGTAATCAAGTTAATTTTCTCTTTTTTGGTGGTGTCAGTCAGACTCGAAATTCTTCTTGCTTGACTTAGACAATCTTTGGTGTGAAATGACTGAAAAACAAGTTCAGCCTATGACATCATTTGGGCTAGCATGAAACCTAAAAAGAAGAAGAGAAAAACATTAGCATAGCAGAAAATCTGTTTATACATACATATATATATATATCATATACACACATAAACATATAAAGGTCCACCAGATCTTAAAAGCATTTACAGCAACAAACACTGTTATGAAGACATCGTTGCCTACGCACAACCTGGCATTGTTGATCTATCCCATTCACACTCTGTGTCTCTTTGTCTTGTGTTTTCTCTGGGATTTCATCAATTTTAGAAAATGAACAGTAGTCTTATTGAGTATTTTGAATCCCAAAGTCTATTTGATAGTCATTGCAGACTTGATGTGCAGCAGTCTTTGTTAAGAAACACTGATCTTTACATAAACAGACTGACCTTTTTAACTGGTATTTTGTCAGGACGGGCTGAAGGAAGGAGGGGGTGAGAGGAGGGGGAGGGAGCCTGTACTACTTGTTGATGTAGGAGAAAGCGTATTTCAAGGCAAAGGGGAAAGATGGTATGCCTTTCGTTTTTATAACTGCGTCACACATATGCCTACATATTTAACAGCTACTACACCTGGAATGGACACTATATTTTTTTTCTTCATTAACAGTAACAGATTCCTCTACTTCTTTTCTTCCCCCATAAGAAAAAAAAAAAGAAAAAAAATAGTACACAACACCACCACCAACAAAAAGCAGGCTAAATCATTACTAAGAACAAATTACTTCATGATTTTTTTACTATAAAAATGACTTAAAAATGCTGACAGGAGCAAAGCAAGGTGATGCAAATGGGCTTCTTCAACTGCTCAAAAAAGATTGTGGAAGCAAAAAACTGCCTGATTGACATATATACGGACACTTCACCATAGTGCTCAGTGAGATGACTGAGAGAAGACAAAAACCTTTTTGATCAAAAAGGTCAACAGAAATGATGTGTCTTGTGAAGAGCAGATGTAGCACAATGAACAAGAGCTGATGTTATACTCGCAGCCACCCCATTTTGTCCAATGTATACATCACATGGTCTATATGATCACTTACTGATCCTGGAAATCATGTAAACATGTTGTAAACATGGCCAGGTTACCTTACTCTCATGTAAAGATGCCAAAACTTCTTGTTGAGCTGCAGCCCATTCCCTGTCAGTGGCTAGCTCTCAGTTTATTAATAATAAGCTCTCAGGCTAACTATGCCTATGGAATTATGTGTTTACTTGCCATGAACATGCATGTCTGGTTGCAGTACATATATCTAAGAGCGGGACAGAACAGGAGGGGTGGAGGATGGGAAGGAAGATCAAGCTCCACAAATGCTGTCGCTGGCTCCCCTCCCACACACACACCTTGAAATTCAGCACACACTCTGGAGCCACTGTGCGAGGAAAAGGGAGATTTTTCTCCACCAATCCAGCTCGTGATTTCCATACAGAGAGCCAAGAAGCGCAGGGAAGGGGAGGAGGGAGGGGGGAACGCTTCGTTTAGACAGGGTAGGGAGAGAGGCACGGATGCTCCGCGGGAACATTCCCCCTGCGCTTCTCCAGCCCTACCGTCCACCCCCGGTGCCCTCCCCTGCAAGAGGGTTCCCCGTGCGGGAGCCGCCGCCTGCCGCCCTTCCCCGCCGGGGATGCTGAGCCGGCCCCAGCCACTGCGGCCACGATGGGGCCGCCGCAGCCGGACGGGCAGCCAGGCGCCGGGGAAAGGCAGCTCCAGCGGTGGCGAGAAAACGTCTGCGCAAAGGAGAAAAAAACAAACAAACAAACAAACAAAAAAAGCCACGCACAACCAATACCCAAAACAAAGGGATCTGAAACAAAGGCTTCTCCGCGGGCAGCGGAGATGCTCAAGGCAGGGGTCCTCTTACCCGGTCGATACCGCTGCTGTCGCTCGCTGGGTTGCGGCTGCAGGCAGACGATGGCCGGCTGCCCGTCCCGGCCGTGCCGCTCTCTCGTGTTCCGAGGCCCGGCGGCGAGCCCGGTGCCCCCTGCGCCGCGCCTCTCCGCGGCTGCCCCTCCCCGCGCTATCCCTGTCTCCCTCCCTTCCACCTCCCTCTTCCCTCCCGGGGGCTATCAGCGGATCCTGGCTCCGGCGCGGGGACCCCTCCTGGTGTCCCCACCCCAGCGCCCCAGCCCGCCCCTCTGCCGCAGACAGCGGGACGAGCGCGCCTGCGAGTCACCTGCTGCTCGGTGCAGGCTTGTCTTTGCTCGGCCCGGGTCGGCAAAACCCCTCTCGTCCTGCCCACTGTTCAGATCCCCCGGTTTCCTTAAGGATCACCACCACCATCATCAACAACAAAAACAGCAGCAAAACACAAAACAAGAAGAAGCACACACACAGACACACACACACACAAGAGAACACCAAATCGTATCCCCTCCTCTTGCTATTTGTATTTCCTTCCGTTCCCCTCCCCCTTCAGTTTCTTTGGGTCTTGTGCTTCTCCCCCACACAGACACAGACAGACACACAGACAGCCACACACACACACACACACACACACACACACACAGGCACGCACGGTGTGAATGGTTTTACTTGCCGCTGTGCCACAAGGAGCTGCTGATGGTTTCCAAAGTCCCACCACCATGCAAATCCCTCCTTTAGCTTGAAGCTGAAGATCATGGACTGTATGTTTGGATTCGGGGTGCATTTTTCTCACAGCTGCTTCGCTTCCTGAAATTTCACCCGGTGAGTAGGTTTTATTTCACATTCAGATTGCTCGTCTCCACCAAACAGACCCTTTAAAAAAAAAAAAAAAGGGAAAGGGAAAGGGAAAGGGAAAGGGAAGGAAAAAGGAAAGGAAAGGAAAGGAAAGGAAAGGAAAGGAAAGGAAAGGAAAGGAAAGGAAAGGAAAGGAAAGGAAAGGAAAGGAAAGGAAAGGAAAGGAAAGGAAAGGAAAGGAAAAGAAAAGGAAAAAGGAACCTTCCAATTGTCTCGTCTTGCTTCTCAATCTTTCAATAGCTTGCTTCTCTCCACTTTCTGAACTCGAAGAAAACCTGAAGCAACAGCCCTATTTGCCTACTCCATTCCACACATTAGTCACAGCTCTCAGCACTAAGTTGCAGTCTGCACCGCAGTCTCACATGCACCGTCCTTACCATTCCACTGCTTATTCATCACGTTTTATTAATATTTTCATCACTCTAGCTGCTACATTCTCTGGTTTAACCCATTGCAGACACAGCGACTCACAGGGCTGTTGGAAGGGCCCGGTGTTTCTCTCCGAATGGGAAGACAGACAGAAATCGCCAGTGGTTACAGGGTTGTGTGTGGAAAGGAGTGGCTGGAGGTCTGCGTGGGGAAATAATGTGGAAAAGTCCATCACTCTTACTGATCCCCGAAGAAGCTTGGATTGGACTGGGGGCAGGGAATTGTGCCCGAGATGGGGCTGGAGGGGAAGAGAAGGGATTTTCCAGACCTCTGTCCTGCCGTTTCTGCTCAAAGGGAACAGCTCGGGAAGGGAGGCCGGGCTCACCAGGGGAGCGGAGCGCTGCTGCAGCGCGCTTCTGCCGCGCTGGTGCTTGCACCTACTGTGCACTCTTGCTGTTCTGAATCCCACTGCACGTCCTGGTTGTATTTTTTACTGTTTTAGGGAATATTTATAATTTTGCTTGCCTAGGGTAAGAACGAGGCGTCACCTTCACAAAACATATGCACACACATATATATATATATATACACATACACATATATATATATGCATATATATATATATACCTGCCGCGTTCCAAAGTGAAGACTGTCTTTTGAATCATGTAGGCACTTCTTTACTTTGACAGAAAAATACAGAAGAGGACCAAGGGAAATAAATTGTTTTTGTTAAAAAAAAAAAAAAAAAAAAAAGATCGAGCACCTTTAGAGTGCTATTTCTGGCTAATGCTTCCAACATTTTAGCGTCTCTAATTAGCGGCAGAGATCCACCCACGTTCAATAGCAGAAGGTAGGGAGGGAACATGTTACTTCTCACGGGGAGGTATTGACTGAGCTCCATCTAAATCTGTCATTTAGTGTGCGGGATAAGCGTGCGTGTGTGTGTGCAGTCATGTCTCCAAAGCAGTACGTGCATAGATCATGAGAAGGGTGCTCAAGGCTTGCAAGCAGGTAGAGGTGCCAGTGAGAAACACACGAGGTCTGAATTTATTGCCTGGTGGCAAGCAGAGAACCGAAAAAATCAATGCCCTCTTCTATATCGTGCTCCCGAGAGTGCTCTGCCCGCCCCACTCCCCTCCCCCACCCCCTACCCCCGCCTCCAAATTTCTGGTTGATGTCGGGAAAGGGGGAGTGAAAAAAGAGCCCTTCAAGCGTGGGATACAAAATTCATCCTTCCTCCAGCTCCTCTCTTCTCCCAGCAGCTGGACACCCCACCGCCTCCCCCGCCCCCGGCTATTTCCCTCCTTACAGACAAGTGTCTTTCTCCCGGAGACTGTCCTCCAGCAGATTTTCTTTCTACCGGCATTGCCGACCTGGCGTCCTCTCCCCCTCCCGCCCCCCCTGCTGTACACACCGCTTCCTGCCTCGGCCCTCTTAGCACGGGACGGGGTAATGAACCAAATCCCAGCCGTTTCTCCCGAATTGCCTGCCTCTGACGCTGCTGCTACGGGGATTCTCCCGCACCAGGCTCCTCAGGAAAGTTTCTGTTCATTCAGACCCCCTTCCCTTTCCAAGTATAGAGGATTACGTAGGTAAGTGTGTTTCAAAAATCTCTACCTGAAATTTCACCCTATTTTTTTTTTTTTCAAGCGTAAAAAAAAAGTCCTGGGGGGTTAACTCACTGCGGGAATAACTCATCTGTTGTTGAGCATCACCCTGCCTTGCTAGTTAAATGATAGCGCTCTGCAGAAGAGATTTATGTGCCCATCAGCAGAATATTTCCCGGGTTTCAGAGCAATCTGTATTTTCTCTATGCCGACGAGGGTGGGAGATGGTAGGACAGGATGAGGGCAGCGGAAGGGTTTAGATCACAGTCACGGTGATGGATGGCAGCGGTGCCTGGGCAGTAAAACTGACATAGGTTGGACATGTTGGTGTTTCTATACTCAACAGACAGGGAGGGGGGGCACCGAACCTTTTCCATACAAACATCAAATAAATCAACGTAATTAATGTAGTCTTAATAGGCGATTGTAACCAGCGAGCGTGAGGCACGTTTAATACAGAAGATTCCCATTAGCCTTTATGGTTCATTTCCAGCGTCCAGCACTCCCAGACCAGAGGATACCCTCTACTTGCATAGGGCTGTATGACTCAGAAAAAATAAGAATGCCAGGGAGCAGCCTGGCAATTTTTTGCTTTGGTTTGGTTGGTTCTTTTGCTTTTTGTACAAAGGAGTGGCAGCATGTAAATACCTCCCAATCCTCACACCCCAGTCCTGGGGGAATGGTCCGAAACAGCCTTCTGCCCTTCTTTTAGGTGTCCAGCCTCTCTGCTTGTTTGTGGCTGGCTTCACTGTCAAGGATTACCGTTCTCTCCTCTGTCACCTTCAAACTCCCTGTGGCTTTGGGACTCTGTTTTGATTAGGAGCTGATTTTCCATTCTCAAATATTGTCAGTGGCAGGCTGACCCCCAGGGAGGGGGCTCGGATGGAGGAAACACCTTTAGAGATGCATGCCTGGACCTAACCCTGCGTCATCGTTCCTGTAAGTTGTGCCTGTCCCTGGGGGTGAGACGCTGTGGGCAGGGCAGGCGGGGGCAGCCGGAGGGGCTCCGGCAGTCCACTGGCAGTGCTGGCCTCCCACCAACTCCCCGCTGGAGAGGGCGGCTTGCTGCTGTCCTAAGCAGGGGAAGGAAGAACTGAGCCCTTAGGGGACTGGGTGTCTGTGCTGCTTCAGCCCTGAGGCCACCCACCGTCCCTGCAGACTTGCCAAGACTGCTCATGACAGGGGGCCAGAGGGACCTGACTGGGAAGGGTTAATCAGGGGTTGCAGGGTGCTCCAAGCATGAGTCCTGAGTGCTCCTCATAGATGCGCTAGCCAATCCTAGGCAACGGAAGCATGAACTATATGTAGCATGGTGTGAAAAGCAAGGTAAAAAAAATAGGGTGTACACCATCACCGCATATCAGAAGGCAGGAGACCTGATTTTGGGGGGCTACGATTCCTGTGCTACTTAGAGATCATCACACATTTAAAAAGGTAAGGACTTAGTTACCAGAGATCTGTATTGTGACTGACTCCCAAATCCAAGTGTATCTTCTGCATACCTTTCTTTAAGTGTTAAATCATGCAGTGCAGAGAGTGGGAAGAAGTGGAATATGGCATGATTTACCACTTGAAAATTTTTTTTTTTGAAAAAATACATTATTTTCAAGTGGTAATGATTTTTTTTAGAGATTAAGGAAGTGTATGCATGTGAAGTGAAGTAAATTCACGACTGGAAGAAAAACGTAATGCATGTGATAAGTGAAGAATATTCTGTTACAGCATCAAAATCAGTCATAGATCCACATGAAATGATGGCCAATGTGAGTCAGACCTGATTTACAAAATATATATATATATATTGAATAATTCAGAGAGATTGAATATTGAATAATGAATAATTCTGACAAGCAAGTTTGACAGAAGAAGCAAAAATAACGTATTTGTTCACATCTAACATTACTTAAATATGCCATCACAAAAGAATGCTCTAAAAAGAATAAATGAAGTCAAAACATCAAGGACTGTTTATTTTCAAAGACAGGTAACTCCGACACATTAAGTATACAAATAAAGGTAAAGCTAGAGTGGTCCTACTTACATTTACAAGATATAAGAAATAACTTCAGAGATAACTTCAGAATCCATTTAGATATCAGAGTTTTCAGGCTGCTGTCAATGCCCAACTCCAGCGGTACAAGGGGTTTCTCATTTTAAATATGTGCTCTATCAGCTTTACTGGAAGCCCTAGCTTAGAGAAAAGATCCATTTGATGTATATCTCTTTCTGTATCTAAGCCTAGCAAGAGCTGTAGTCTTATACACTGTTGCTGTGCTAATTATCAGAGTTCCATGAAGAAATTACCTACAGTTTCTTGCCTTCAACCATTTTTTTTCTCTCTAAATCACGTACATAATTTAAGTGAGAAAGAAAAAAAAAAACAAAATCTGTTATATTTTCAGTAAGCTGATCAACCTCCAGTGAGAACTAACCTTCCCAACAGATGCTGAGTTCACTAGAGGAGCTGTTTGGGGTGCTTTTTCATGAAATGCTGAAACCCTGTGAGTGAAAACGTTAACTAGGAGACATGAAAACAAACAGCTGAATGTTTTACAGATCTTGCTGCAGAAGGCAGCATTTGTTCAACAAACCAGCAAAACAACTTGAAGATCTTGAAGTGATGTAATCTCTCTGTCTCATCCTTTCCCATTTTTTCTACTACAGTCTGAATGGTATTGTGAAGAATCAATTACAGGAGCCTACTCATTGTTTACTCCAATGTGTGTCTGAAAAGTTATTTCTTTAGTCACGCAGATTGCAGTGATTTCACTCCTCTCAATCCCATGTGGAAATCATTTTTAATGGGACTAAAATAGCTTTATTTCATTTGGACTAATTTGGAATTAAGTTATCACATCTGGCTATGATCAGTCTGGAAAATATCTTGCTTAAGATTTCAACAAAGAAAAAGGTAACACCTAACTAAAACAAAACTTTTTTTTTTTTATTATTATTATTTTTTTTAACCAGCAAGCTTGCTTCTTCAGTGGTTTTTGAACATCTAAATGGAGAAATGGGACATCAAATAATTTTCACCTGTTTATGCTTAGGAGAAAAAGGGAGTGGTGGTTGATACTTTCTGGAAACCTTACATGTTTTATACGTGTTATGTGTAGTTCTTTGTTACTCCTCCCAAAGGTTCATCTCTCCTTCTCAAAGTCAGAAGTAGACATTGTTTTTTTGTTTTCTGTCCTGAAATACTAGTAATCTCGTTTGGGAGTGAAATCACAAGAAAGACATTTTGGCAAAAAGAGCCAAAATACTCTTTCAGATAGGTTGCATTAATAAAACTTGTCTTGATAGACTGCTGCAGGCAGTAACTTAAGTTAGTAATTTCAGAAGTTACCTTACTCTTCGTATTCTCATCCTAACATGCAAACAAGTGTGAGTGATAATTTTTTTCTTTGTTTTTTAAATTGTAACCACATTTTTCTTGTGGCATTGTTTTCCTATTGTTCAATATGTCTGCTGTTCAGTGAGGGCCTGATCTTGTACTATTAAAGTAGATCAAAGCATGGTCATTAACTTCACTGAAAGAAAGATCAATTTCCAAGATAATAAATTGGAACCAAAATTAACTTCAGTTTTTGAAAAAAATGCAAGCACCATGAAGTTAAATACTGTATACAGAGCTATACAAGACTTTGCATATCGTGATTCAAATATTATTAAAACAATAAAGAATTGAAGGATTTTTAATATGAGCTTATGCTGCTTTACATCTTAGTATTATTATATCTTCATTGATAAATAAACATTATATACATAATGAAGAACATTAAGAGAGCTCCATTTTCTGAAATGCCTCACTGAACTGCAGGCATTCAGTACCTTGTGACTCAAGTCATCATGCTACTGAAACTATTATGTGGTTATTTTTGTTTCCAGACTCTGAAATTAATTGCTTTTATGTATTATAATAAGTGTAAATGCATAAAGATAGTTTTTATATACATACGCACAGGTGTATATAAACATGTATAATTTATACCATACATATGTATCCATTCATTTCTCCACACATATGGTATTTATAATTGCTCCTTTGCCCTGGGTCACACCATACGGTTAAGCAGTCTTTTTCCCACCTTCCATTGAAAGTCTCCATTTATTCTATGTGCCACAAGATAAAGGGCTGACAAGAGGAAACAAGGACATTCTCTGCCACATCAAAGCTTTAATATTTAATGAGCCTTTCACAAATGCCACAAATTTTGTTCCACCTTCAAAAGAAGATTGACCAGGCAATATATGCTATTAGCTAAGTTAACATTATTAAACAGTAGCGGTTTCTCTAATAATAAGGTGTGATTTCAAGGCTTGTTTTTTCAGATATCTTTATAGTAGCAGTCACACTAATGATGATTAGATAATTCTGCTCATCTGCAGTAAAACTTTCACTGCCACATCTACCAGCACATGATTAATGAAATAGTGACTTTTTGGATATTTATTATACATTACAAATAAAGGACTTAAATCTGGGGATTCAGATCACTACTCTAGACTTTTAATCTCATATTATTACTACTGAGAACTGTGGAGAGATCATTTAGCTCTTTCAGTATTTTGCATAAAAATACTGAATAAATACAATGGATTTATATCCATTGGAAATAACAAAAAGACCTGGTTAACTGACTGTGGATGACCACTCCAAGTCAAATGGGATTATTAAAATCCATTATAAACCAGTCTTTCCTTCCTTCCTTCCTTCCTTCCTTCCTAGAACATTTTCTCAGTCCTTCTAGAGAAAAAGAGAAGAAGAAAAAAGAAAAGAAAAGAAAAGAAAAGAAAAGAAAAGAAAAGAAAAGAAAAGAAAAGAAAAGAAAAGAAAAGAAAAGAAAAGAAAAGAAAAGAAAGAGGCTGTAATAAAGACATCCTACATTCCTCGTATCTAGAGGACTTCATTGATGTGTAATCTCTAATAAGAAACATAGTCAATGTCTCCTGTTCTTCACTGAAAAGATACTAACTGAAAGTTTAAAGCTTTTCAGCATTAGCTTAGAATCTATCTCAGAATGTGTTTTTCTATCAGCTGCAAAAAGAAATAGTGATAATTTTGTACTACCATGGTTTTAGTTTATCACATAGCTAAATTAAAACAGTTGAGAGATTGTAATTTGTGATGGGAGTCTAAAACCCAGACTTTCTCTCCTTGTATAATGATGTTCTTGAGAGGCATCTTTTAACAGACATACTTATTCTTTTTCCTAATTTTGTAATTTCTTCTAAATTTGTCAAAAAAATGTCAAAGAATATTTTTTTTTAGATAAAATTAATGAATCACAATCATGCTTAGGAACAAGACCTCAGAGAAAGCTTCAATGATACATTTGTATGAGATAGCAAGCTGCCCAGTATATGACATAATTATTACTTTTACAACCAAGTCTTGTGTATTATCCATCCTGAGATGCAATTAAGTCCAGAATGACTTGCTGAAGCTTGAATCTTTGTTCAGTCAGCCATAAAGTCCCTACTCTTACTATAAAAAATTAATAGCTATAACACGAACATTTAAGAGGATCTGGCTATTTCCCATATACTAGTTACAGGCTTAAAATGATGAGGCAAAGGGACTTACGCAAAGTCATGCAACAGTTTATGGTAGGATCAGACATGGAACTATGGTTTATTGAATCCTTTATGAGTCCTGTGTAGGCAGTAGGCAGCGTGCACAACAGGTTACAATTTTTTTTTTCCCTGATAGGGCAGTCGTGGTATAAGTCTATTTTTTTCTGCTAGGATAAATCGGCTGAAACCTGGGAATCTGAAAGGAGATGAAACCATCCATTTACAACAGCTGCAAATCAGCTCCACCGTCTGTGAAATCATCTGTAAAATATGGAGCACTGTTGTCTGAAAGACATAATAGAAGACATTATCATTCTATTAGATATCAACACTAAGAAACAAAGTACAAAAAATTGTCAATT